ATTCCATGTCATCACAGGGCCCCTCGAAGAGGGTGGCAGGGGAGTTATTCAGAGAAGATGTTGGAAGAGGAGCAGAGGAAGGGATGGTGCCATGGCTGGCTTTGAAGATGAAAAGGAAGGTGGGTCCCTCCAGAAGCTGGAAAGGTCTGGAAATGGACTCTCTCCTAGGGCCTCCAGAAAGAATGCAGCCCTGCTGACGGCTTGATTTTAGCCCTGTGAAAACCATTTTGGACTTGAGACCTCCCAAACTATGCGATAATAAATTTGTGGATTCGTAAGCCACTAAGCTTGTGGTAATTTGTTACAGCAGCAATGAGAAACCAATACAGCCTCCAAGTCCTTTCTGAACCGAATTTTGACAAACGTTTTCCATGTTTCAAAATTTGACAATATAGCAGTGGCCACACACTCAAAATTGGTGATATTCCTGGACATAATCAGAATCTGACACACACGTTATAGCTATGGGTGCCAACTACCGGCAAAAAAGAATATATTGAACTTTTTTTTTTTTTACATAAAAATTATTAAGGATTCATCACAGAATACACTGGAATGATGAAATATGCTCATCAAACTGATCTGGCAGCCATTTTAACGGTTTTTATCATTTCAACTGATCATCATGATTTAATAAATAGCAGGCAACTGGCAAAGAAACAGGCTTTAAAATAAGGGAGAAAGCCCCACTAAAATGGACTTTTTGATTTGCATATCTACCGGATGAACCAGAATGTGTTTTGCTCTAAAAATGGAAGTGATACGTGCATCTCAGTCATAGAAGACCACAAAAGGGCTGAGCACGAGGGGAAGCCACCACAGACACATCCCTCCCTCCCATGGAGGGAAGACAGTGTCCAGGTCCTCACCAGGAAGGGAAAGTGGGGTGTCTGACTTGCCATAGGAAACCTGCCTTTGAACTAGACTCATAAATATCGACAATTTCTGGGCTAGCTCAGAAAGAATAGGCCGAAATGTAATACCCCAGTGTGAAGGGGTATCGGATACCTTTCTCTTTTCTAATCAAGACTCTGGATACCCCACTAGAGGACAAGTACTTACACCCACATTATTTGAAAGTGGGAAATACTCTAAATGGTTTTTTAAAGAACACTTGGGTCTTTTCCAAACCACACTGAAATACCCAACTCCTAGAAGCTTCAGCTTTCAGTCAAGTTCCACTTCCTAAAGAGTTTTGGGTTTGTTTTTCTATTTCATTTTTGTTTCCTTGTTTTTTTAGATTAACGGTATCTTGAGAGCTGGCCAGGAGTAAGTAGGGAGTTTGGAAAGGAGAGAAAGTGGAAAATGAAGAGGCAGCAAGAGACTCACTCGGCAAAACCCTCATTTGTCCCGAGCAATAAATACAGAAGATGAGGCTGTGTCAGTCTCATTAGGAATAATAGAGAGCAATTGCTTACAATCATCCCTAATGGGTTGCCCATTTTCTGACAATGGGCTCAGCAATTAATTTGTCAATTTTTAACCAAATGCACAAATAATCATCATCCCCGGGTGAGCCTTTGGTCTGCCCTACCACCTTTCACCTGAGGTTCCAGGGACCCCAGGCGCCCTCCACTGGCCTTTGGGCATTTTCCATCCCCGTTTTTGACCAGGGAATTAATCCACCTCCTTCAAGGTCCCTTAGGAAAATCCAGTGCAAAACCCTGGCCATTCACCCTTTCCTATCCTGATCCCCCTAAACCTTCAACAACAACAAAATTACACTTTCCCTATCTTTTGAACCCTACATCATCCTTGGTTATAGCCTGGGCTAAATCAGAGATTGGCCTTTTAAAATATTTGACCTCTGACCTAATATTCAAATGTCATGATTAACAAGTTGGGGCTGCCAACAAAATATCCCCATTTTGCTTCCCAGTCCTCTGGACTATCTATCATAAGAAAACAGTGCAGCCCTGCGTAACCCTGGTGGGGAAGTGACAGCAAGCCCAGACAGGACCCCAGGGGCACAGGCTGGCTGTGCCTGGGAGGGTAGCAGAGCAAATAGGAGAGGAAGAGGGGGCGTGGCTTCCAAATGTCCCCATGATGCAAAGGGCCTGGTGGCTGGTGCACTGAACTGGCCACGAGGACCTACGGGAAGGGCCTGGCTGACTCCATCCGTGAGATTTCCAGCCAGTGCCTCCCTCCACTGACTTGGTGCCCGCCTCTCTCTCCTGAGAGAAAATAATTCCAACCCTTTCACCGCCTCTCCTCTGAGCTCTTGAAAGAAAACACCCCATGAATTCAAAGCCCAGTAACCATGTTATTAATATTTCCACAGCAATAGCTGCCTTCTTTCAGCCAAGGACACACGATGAACCAGCAAATCCCTCCTCCGCCTGAAGCTTGGATGTGAAAAGACCACTTGAGAAAGAAGAAAAGGGCACGATGAGAAAGTGGGGTGTCCAATGACAGGCCAACCCCGGTTGCCACCCCACTTGCTTTCCCCACACAACCCTTCCCTGATTCTCCTGCCCTTGTGCAAGAAGCCCTTGGATGAAATAAACTAAGAGCTCATTTTGCCCTGAGCCGAAAGTGATGACAAGTGCCACACAGACCTTTTCACCTTCTCAGGAGCCTGCACTGATCACTCTGTGAAAACCACCAACACCATTATTCTGTTTGCGTTCTTCATGACTCATAATACAGTTTCAATTATATGCTCAGTTACCTATTTGCCCACCTCTCCCGGAAGCTCTTGCAGGGCAGACGCTAGACCTGTTTCATTCCAGCACCTAGCCCAGTGCTTGGCACATAACAGTCAGTATCCACTGCACTAATTAACCGTAATCCTTATAACCACAGTGGAAGCCAGGTATGATCATGTCCATCTTACAGGCGAGAAGCCTGAGTCTCAGAGCTGTAGTGACTTCCCCAAGGTCACAGAGCTAAATGGAGGTCAGGATGCAACCCCAGACCTCCCGGGACCATCTTCATCCACACCGTATATCCTTTTCTTTCCATCAGCCAACCGCATCCCTTCCGCTTGATTAAAAGAAGCCCAAGGTCTGGGACGCCAGAGGGCCCCGGTTCGGATCCCACATATGAGGGCCAGTGACACTGCCCTCCACAGCTAAGATGCTGAACAACAGCTCAACCTGGAGCTGGGCTGCTGTGAGTCACCAGTGACGGTGTAGGCTGCAGTCCCTGCTGCAGTGAGTTGCCATGGGCTACAGTATGTAGCCAGCAGCCAGCGTGAGTGGCCAGCAGCTGCTGTGAGCGGCTGTCCAGAAGCCGGCGACTGATCTGCCTCGCCCGGGAAGAGTGCAATGATGGTGCCAACGTGGGCCAGTGAAGCAACGTCCTCCACAACTAGACTGAAGAACAAACACGACATCAGCTTGTCTGTTCCCCTTCCCCCAATTCCCCAGCGCTGTTCCCATCCCCCCAATTCCCCAATAAAAATCTTAAAAAAAAAAAAAAAGAAGCCCAAGGTCCATCGCCCCCTTGAAGCTCTGCCCATGACTTCCTCCAGGACTCCTGACCTTTTCAGGGGGAAGCTAATATTTACTTACATAATAGCTTACATGTGGGCTATCTGTCTATGTGGGTTATATAATGATTGGAAAAGAAATGAAATTGGAGGAAGAGGGTTCATGAAGAGAAATTGGAGGTAAATGGATTTCAGAATAGGAGGTATACGTGCACTGCAGCCTTGAGAGGGAGAAGGAACGCTGAGGAGAGCAGCCGCCCTGGTACATCGGGAGGAGGGAGCTGGGAAGTGTGGAGAGTCACATCGCATGTGGGGTCCCATCCTGCCCAGCTGTGCTGCGTGTGCCAGCATGGAGCGGCCATGAGTGGACCTACAGTGATGCAACCCTGCAAACTGGGAGGGAAATTCCCGCTTAAGAAGAGCCTTTTCCCTAAGCTACATCAACCCACAGCACCTGGCTACGGCTCCCCATACTTCTGCTACTGGGAACATCTCAGTCACTCGATACTTCAAGTCCCCAAAGAGCCTGGGGCAGAGATGGGGGTGGGGTGAGGGTGGGGCAAAGGCAACAGACTGTCAAGTCAGGAGGGCAGAAACCCGGTCCATTCTTAACGCACACCTGAAAGGTGGAGAGCAGGGTTTTGCTCCAGGCATGTTATGCTGTGCGTTATCATATAACCCCCTGCGACTGCCTGACCATCTGCACGTTAGCAGAGGGCTTTGGACATGTTCAAACACAGACAATATCAGTTCTTCACCCTCCCTGGCTCCTGCATCTCAGGATAGCACAGTTACTTCTTCAGGTCTCTTTACTCCCTCCCATTTGAGGTGGTTAGCTGTCTTAAGAATGCGCAGAGAAAGTCAGACGTAAGACGCAAAGTGGAAATCAGCTCTCTGGCTATTCAACCCTGTCATTATAGTGTGGCAAGATTTCAGAAGCATCTGCACCCACGCTCGAGTCCAGTCACGACACAAAGCAAACCCAGAATCATTTATGAGTTGAACGCCCCCGCTGCTGTCTTCACAGAGGTGGGCCCATCCTTCGGCTCCTATTATGCAGGACAGAAGAGATATATATAAAGAATCACCTATTTACCAGTTCTTTATTCTATTACTGGTGGGAACAGAAGCTGACATCCACAAGGACCCTTTTCAACGAGGGATTATATATCACACCACAGAAATACATAAAAGACAAATTATCCCTGAGATCATGGCGCCTCCATTGACCTGCTCAAGGTTGAAAAGCGGCTGCAATTAGATGCCATGGTCACAGGTCTGCTGGCAGCTCCAAGAGCCTGCCTTTGCTTTAATCCTGCAGAAATGAGCCGGGATGGATTCTGTGGGCATGCACTGCAGCTAAGTTTGAATTCTGTGGGTCTGATTCAGATTTGTGGGAGTTTGACAATTTGCTTTTGTTAACAAGATCTTTCTCAGCTTCTGCAGTGTTTACAAGATGAGATCTAATTTGGGCTTAAAATACTCATGAAAATTAACTGCATTACTTTAAAAAATGCAGTTGGGAAGAGACGGAGAGGGAAAATGACGTTACATGCCACAAACTTACCACGTTTGCACATTTGTCAGAGAAATCTTGCAGCTGCTGGTGACTGACGATCATAGACACTAGTGCCCCAGCCCTTCGGTCGGACCTGACTCTCCAACCTGGAGACGTATGAAGAAATCTGTTTTACTGCTTTTTGTTATACATGAAATTGAAAATCTATTTGGGATGGGAGCTTGGAGGTTTCATTTATTTTCACACTTAGAATGCATACAAGACCCCCTGGTGCAAAGCTATGGAGGACAACGGAAGTGATTATCCTGAGTGATTATCACGGTGCCTTTTTTCGGTAATAATAGCAAATCTCACTAACTGAGTGCTTTCTACATGCCAGGCACTATTCCAAGCACTTTACTTACACCCCCCAACAACCTGATGAGCCGGCTGAATCACAGCGCAGGAATGTAACCTTCCCAAGCCACACAGCTGCTCAACAGAAGATCCAGAATTCAATCCTAGCTTAACTGGCCCTCGACCCCTCACCTATCACTCAGATATAACTGCTTGCTCTAAACTGCTTCTTACACACACACACACACACACACACACACACACACACACACACACACACACACTTTTAGAAAATATTCATTAGATTATGATGGCCACATCACCTGAACATAAACAACACTTAAAAAACCTTTAGTTTATAAGTTTAATAAAAGCCAGCCAGGTGAATTTCAAGCCTATAATGTAAAGGATGGATCAGTGCAAACAGATTCAGGAAATATGGATATGGACTTTTCAAAGAAAAAGAAAAAAGAAAAACCCAGTTTATTCAGAGCACATGGATTCTGTGTGTTGCTTCCAGGAAAAGGTCAGCTGGCCCTCTCCAAACAGGCCAGGTCCGTCCAGTCAGAGGCCTAATGGTCTACCTCAGAAGTAGATGAGGAATAACAATTACGTATAAAATCAGAATCCCAAAGCATTAATTTCAAACAAAAATTAGATCTGCTACGTGAACCACAGTGGAACACTGGCCCCCTCAGTCTTCCTTCAGGCTGACCTAAGGGGAAGTCAGCCCATAATCAGAGGGTGGGCTGATGAACATGGAATCGGAATATATGTCCTTAGATGCAGATGTGATGGCATCTCGTGATGACAGCTTATCAACACATCTAGTTCCACCATGAAGATGGCCTAGTGAAGCAGACCCGAATTCAAGTGGCTGAGGCTTCCTCGTTCTCAGACAAGACTCTGAGATGGGGAGATTTCTGAGAGCCCTTTGCTTTCTCTACCTATGACTGAGCGACCCTCCGTCTCATTGACAAAGCTTATCAGGTTATAACCAAATCCGTGCTTTCCTGAGAGTCAGTCTGTCTCTATGAAGTGATGTTCATTTACCTGTACTCTCTCCTTACAGGGGTTGAATTTGAAGGCCGTCCCAGATTAGGTTTCTTAGGAAGCCAACGCTGAGACAGGAAGTATGTTAAGGGGTGTTCTTGGCATTACCACCTGAACAGGGAGGGGAAGGTAGCATGGGTGGGCGGAGGGAGACACTGAGTAGCAACGCAGTCCCAACAAAGACCTCTGTAGCCCCTCAGGGAGCTCTGGAGCTGGGGAGACCTTTCAGACTTGCCCCAAGTGAGGGTGTGGTGGTCAAACCTTTATACTTCTATACCCATCAGTCACTGGCTGTGGACCACCCTGAAAAGTGGGCGATGTGGCCCTCTTCGGCTGAGGCAACCCCCAAAGGGAGCTGAAAGCTGAGAGCTCTCCAGCAGTTGGGGAAAGAAATCCTTCATTCCTGAGGAGGGATATGGGCCACACAGCATAGCATTCCCCACAAAGGATAATCCTAAATTCCCAGAGAAAGCCTCCCTTAACCCCTACTGCACTGAAAGCCAGAGAACTGAAAAGGTGATGGGGGCAGGGAGTGCAAGTCCACCCAGCCTACAAGGCTCAGAAGAAAAGGGATGCCTCCCTCTGGCCAGGGCTGCCCTGATGCTTCCAGCCGGTCCCCTCCTGCTCCCCAAGTCTACCCTCCAGCCGTCTTGACCTGCTCTCTGTCCCTCCAAGGGCCAGGCTCTTTCTTACCTCAAACCTTCCCACACGCTGTGCTGCTCCCTCTACCTGGGACGCTCTGCAGTCTTCTTCCCTCACCTGACTCCTATTCTCCTTCAGGCTCAGCTCAGACTCCAAACCCCTCCCCCAGCCAGATGATCTCAGCTGCTGTCACTTCTCCATCCTGGGCAGTTCTTACATTGATTTCTATACTATCCCACTTCCCACTAACCTGTAAACTCTATAAGCGAAGGGGCCATGTCTGCATGACTCACCATAGTTAGTCCAGTGCCTGGCACAGAGCCTGGGAACTAATCAGCACTCAAGAAACACTTAGTGAATGAATGGATGGATGAATGAATGATGAAGCCACAAATGAAGGAATTCTAGCAACCCAGGACAGCTCTAGCAGAACAGACCTCCAGCTCTGAAATGGCTCTAAAAATGTTCTCACTTCCAGACCGGCCCCTCCCAAACCTGGGTTAGGTTCCCCAGCAAAATACTCCTGCCACAGCACTGAGTATGCTGCCTTGTACTTGCCTCATCCTCACTACATGGTGAGCAGAAGCCATTTCTATCTTATTCATCATTTCCCCACACCTGCCTCTGGCACCTAGCACAGGACCTGGCATAGAATAGGTACACAAAAAATGTTTCTTGAATAAATAACAAAGAGAGGAGTGCATTTATTTAGAATTCAGTGAAATATTTTCAAATTTACACTGGCATTAAAGTGAAATGCGGTGGTATTTAACTAGCTTCCCAAAACAGCAAGAATCTTGGGGGCCTCCTTTAAGGAATATGGGAGCCCTGTGAACTCTGAGGCTGCAGCAGGGGTGTCCTCCCGTCCACTGGGAGCATTAGGAAGTGACTGACATATTCGATATCTGTCAACGGTGTTTACAATCATAGTCACACTGAAAGCCCAGCAAGATGTTATATAGACCTGTGTATACACAGTATTACCTCACTAAGTGTCCATCAAAGCACTGAGATGCAGGAATTATTATCCCCATTTTTCAGATGATAGAATCAAGGCTTGAAGAGATTGTCGCCTGCCCCAGGTCACCAAACCTATTAGAAGCAGAACAAGAATGAAATCAGGCATGCCTGCGTCCAAAATCTGTGTTCCTCTTCAGCGCCTTGGTAAGCTCCCTCGAACCCGTGATACCATCTCCCCAAACAAATGAATTAAGTGGGATGTTTAAGTACGAGCAGAAAAATAACACTGGAGTAATTGTCATTAAGCTTTGTAATATCTTACCATCATCCCAATTTCCACCATATCACATTCACAAGACTTGCAGCACAGCGCTAATCACCACATCGAGAGGACTGGGTAAAGTACCCACTCGAAAATCTTGACTGTGTCCTGTCACCAGTTCCATCGCAAATGCCTTCTCTTCGCATGTCCATCGTTTTAACAAGTTCCAAAGGTGCTTCTGCTGAGCAGCCAGACTTGAGACCTGGGGCTCTCTGGTGATCTCGAATGAAAGACACACCTGAGGGGGTCCTGCTTCCCATCACACTGTCCAGATACTCCAAGTCAACGTTAGAGGTGAGCAATAGCAGTGAAATAACGAAAGAGGACTTATCCTCTTTGTATTAGTAATTCCCTCTTCCTGCTGTGAAAAATTACTACAAATTCAGTCGCTTAAAAGAATTCAAGTTTATTAGCTTATACAGGCATATCTGAGATATTACTGCTTTGGTTCCAGACCACCGTAATAAAGTATCTCAGTAGAGCAAGTCGTAATCTTCTTGCTGGTGGAGGCTCTTCCCTTCAATTTTTAAAAAACACATCTATGAAACGCAGTAAAACGAGGTATGTCAGAAGTCCAAAATGGGTCATAAGGGGCTAACGCCAAAGAGTTGGCAGAGCTCTGTTTCTTCTAGAAGCTCAAGGGGAGAATCTGTTTCCGTCCATTTTCCAGCTGCTTGAGGCCTTGGCCATGGCCCCGGGGCAGCAATAGCAGCGCTCCAATCTCTGCTTCTGACTCTCTTGCCTCCATCTTTGACTTAAAAGGCCCCTCGTGGTTATGTTGGGTCCACCAGGATTGTCCGGGATCATGTCCCTCATCTGAAGACCCTTAATCACATCTTCAAAGTTCCAATTTTCCACATAAAATATCTTCACCGGTTCTGGGGATCAGACATGGCCATGGGGATGGGGAGGGTATTCTGTTTACCATACTCTTCTTCTGGGAATATTGGGGTGCTCCAATTAGAGTGGGGAGTAGCTGCCTGCCAGAGGACTCACATTACCAAAGTCTCAAAAACACCTTTGGCCTCAGTAGTCGATGCTCATTCTGCTTGCTGCATTTCCACTCCTCCGTTTCCGGGTTAATGATTCTCTCCTATTTCATCTCTCCATGTCTTTAGAGACACATAGTTCTGAATGCGACAAAAATGCTCATTCCAAAATGAGACAAGGGCACTGCATTTGGCATGCAAAATAATAATAATAATAATAATAATAATCTAAGAGCATAGTTTACAAACTTTGTGCAAAATAAGCTTAGGACAATCTACAGCTAAATATTGTCAATCAGCATTCCTGGCACATTTGCTCACTCAACGCTATGCAAGTCAAGCAGGTCTTTATCGTTGTTGAAATAGCAAATCTGCACATTTTGTGTGATTCCAAATATTTGCAATAGAACTGCTACTAAATATACAGGCATGGCATCGGTCCTCACATTCCAATTCTTTCTCATTGGTGAAGGAGGAAAGCATCATACCCAGCAGTACAGCTCTGGGGAGTTTTGCCCATGATAATAAAGTATTTTGGAGGAGAAGGCGGGAGAGGAGGGGGAAGCATTTGTAAGACTGAGATAGACAGGATATGGGGCTCTATTTGCTAAGGGGAAAACAGCTAGAAATACACTGTGGTTGTTAGAGAAAATAAGAATCTTGGAAATTAAATTCGGGGAAGATGAAATTGAAAGCAAGGGAAAATAAAAATTCCCTCTGATTTAAAGGAGGCACATTTAAAAAAAAGAAAAGTGATGGTAAACATTTCTCAGATGCCTCCATGTATTTCTTGTTTTGTGAGCGGCCAGTTTTTCTTTATTCATTTTTCTATTATAGTGTTCATCTTTTTTATTGATTTGTAAGCACTCATTGTGTATTAGGGCTATTAACCTTGTTTCTCTGAAATAGGCATTGCAAGTAGATCTCCAATTTGTCAGTGTTGTCTGTGGTAGAGATTTTTCTTCTCTGCAGGAGTTTTTAATTTGTAATCAGTCAAATCTATCAATTTTTTCCTTCATGCTTTGTGAATTTATTATTAAGCTCAGGAAGGCCTTCTGTACACCAAGATTATTAAAATTCCACCCACTGGTAATAAAAAAATGCAAATAAAAATGAGATTTAATTTTTTTACCTATTACATTCATTCATTCATTCATTTCCTCAACAAACATTTGTCAAGTGTCTATTATGTGACAAACATTATACTAAAGAGCCAGGAATCCGGGAATAAAGAAAACAGAAAAAAAATTCTACCTTTGTGACATTTATATTCTATTGGGTCCAGATAAGCAATAAACAAGATGAATAAGTAAACTGTAGAATATACTAGAGAATAAGTGCTATGAAATAAAATAAAGCTGGAAAGGGGGATAGGAGATGCTGGAGGGTGGGACAGGTGACATTTCCAATAGGATCATCAGGGAGGGTCCCCCTATTCAGCTGTGCTAGTGGCCAGGGCAGAGCTTTGAGCCGACATGAAGTCCTAAGGCAGCAGCTGCTTAACATGCTCCAGGAATAGCAACAAGGCCAGAGGAGCAGAAAGCAAGGGAAAGAGAAGAACTAGGTTGTGGGAGGGCAGCAATAGCACCTAGGCCTTTTGGGCCATCGCAAGGATCCAGGCTCTAACGATGAATGAGATGGAACGGCACTGGAGGGTACTAACTGGGGTGAGATTATCTTACAAATCATCAGAGTCACTCAGGCTTCCAGGACTAGACTCTCCTAGAAGTAGGACAACCTGTTAGGGGACTATTCTAATAATCCAGGTGAGAGGTGATGGTGACTTGGGCCATGTGGTAGCAGAGGATTCGATGTGACGTCTGAAAGATGAGTCAAAGATGGCATCATGGTTTTGGGCCTGAGTGACTGGAAGGGCTGAATAGCCATGAACTGTGATGGGAAGCTGCATCTGAAGCCAATGTGAGGTCAGTGAGGGCAAGGCTGGGGGCCTGAGTTCCAGACGCGGTGGCTTGGAGATGCCCACTGGAATCTAAGTGGAGATGACCAATAGTCAGCTCAATCTACAAGGTACGTTCCAAAGCTTTCTTCCATCTCTAAGCAAGAGATGTACATTTGGCAATCATCAGTATAGCGGAATTTAAGGCCATGAGACTGAGTGAGATTACTAACAGATTGTCAAAGATTAAGGAGATTGACACTACCAAATATTGACAGGTGTACAAGAAAATGTATATTCTCATATGCTCTCCACCTAATTCAGGAAAGCTCTTCTGGAAAGCAGTTAGCAACATGTATCAACATTTAAACATGCAAATCTTTGACCCCAAAATTCTGCTTCCAGTAACTCATTTTAAGGAAGGAACCAAACAAGTGAGCAAAAATAACGACACTGGAGTCATTAATTACTACAGCAGAAAGCTAGAAACAACCTAAATGTCCAATAAAAGGGAGTTAGTTATTATAGCACCCACATAATTAATATATGGCCATGTAAACTTACAGTATAATGATTTGTATTCACATGTGCTATGATATCCATAATATACTAAATAATTTAGCAAATGTAATATAATATAGATGTGCATGGGTTTGGGTTTTTTTTTTTTTCTTTATAGTTTAGGCTACACTGGAGGAGACAATTGTTCTAATCAGGAGTCCACACCCTGGGGTGGTCAGCTAGCATTTTATCAGAAAGGCTACACACCAGAGGCCATTACTAAAAGCCTTCTATAATCCACATCTCTAATCAACAAGAAACATTTTGCTAATTATCATACTGAATTTCAGAAATGGGTTTTCATAGGGGAAATTAATGGGTTGTAAATGAGCATAATGGAGATTAGAAATGGGCAATCATTGGTGAGAGTTGTGAAATTCAAGAGACATGAATTGGCTAAAATGTTTTAGAGACACCTCCTCCCTGTGCATGAACAGAGGAAAAAGTCATCTAAGAGCAGCCTGAGGCCTGTCTTCGCAGCCATGTTCCCTGAGTTTGCATCCCTCAACAGTCCATTATCCAGCCACCTTAAAGCCTTCTGGTTGCCTATGGCTAACACTAAGGGTAAGAAACTATTGTCTTGAGAATTCAGTAGGATTTGCCTGAAGTGACCCCTTTGCTGAAGTTATGGTTGGAGCTCCTGAGAGGAGAAATTACAGGACTTCAGCAAATTTATAGAATAGTTTCTGTGTTGTGTTGTTTTGTGCCTACTTGCTAATGATGGTTTGCTGAATGTCTGGGTATGTGGTAGAATTAGCTCAGAGGCTCACAGTCTAGAAAACCTGAGAGCAAGGGCTTGCGGAGGTGCTAACACACATCCCCTCGCTTTTCAAATGGCTGCTCTTTTTCATCCAGGAGAACCCAGGGTTGTGCATGACTCAGGAAAACAGCCACGGGGGGAACAACACAGAAACGGATGTGAGACAAACACCGTCTTTCCCAAGGACTAGTGTGGAATCCTGGAGGCAGGAAAGCAAAGGGCTAATACTTGGGTTGGATCTTCAAAATCAGGAAAAAAGATAATGCTCAAAACTGTCTTTTAAAAAGTGAAGCAAAAAAGAATGTGCAAAGACAAAGAGACGGACGAAAAAATATACAAGGAATTCATTCCTTCAACTTAAACAGCCAGCTGGGAATTGGTACTTTGCCCGATTCCTGCCTCCACTGCCTTTTTTAGGAGTAGGATTTAGGGCCTACATTACCTAGAACATTTTCTTTCTTTTTTTTTTTCATTCTCTCAGTTTCAACCATCATGTCCTAAGTGACCAAATACATTTGGATATACATATTTCTTGACATATTTACCCCACCCAGTTCACTTCTCCTCCTCCAAGCTGCCGGCA